TAAGACTTTGTAATCTGGCTCTGTCTTCTCAAAAGCCTTAGATTAGATGGGAGAGTCTGCTGTGTAACACAACTTGTTTGTCTTATCGGTAAAGTTTTATGTCGTAAAAAATTAATTAATTTAGTTTAATTTAGGCTATTTTCACTGCATTAAGTTTTGCAGTGGGGAAGGACCAGAAAGGAACATAGGAACCATTCGTGCTACTGAGTCCACATCAAGAGTCAGACACGCAGACATCTGTGAGAGTATTGTTATTTTACAATTTATTTCAATCTACTCCATCTCAGGTAGAAATTCATTTGTAGCTGAGTGAAAAAGATGAGTTGTTATTTCAATTTCGGAATATAGAAAGATCCAGTGAAAAGGACTTTGACTGTAAGAACTGGTAATGGTCCGTTTTATTCTATACGGCTCATTTATACATTGTTCACATCATTGTTTTCATCTCTAGTGTTAGAGACTATGTACAAAGATCCTACTTAAGTTTGTTCTTTCTTCCTATCCAGTAACATATCTGACAAGCGTTCTCTATGGCTGGTGATAATCGTGACCGTATCACTCAGCTTTGAATATATTCCTTCGAGTGAAGCCAACGAGGGATCTAACGCCATGGAAAGTGCTTATCTGGCCCCGGTTGTTCAAAGGATGGATAAATTCATCCGCAGGATAAGCTTATCAGGTGGATAAAAAGGCTATCAACGGGATAGTTATCCAGCCGATAAAAAGTTGTTGCAGAAAGCACGGATAGCGAGACGTATAAATATCCGATGGATAACTCGCTATCCAAGCAGTTGCCATGGTTACAGCCCAGGCGTTGCGTGATCTGTTCGCTCGCGCGTGCTAGTAGCGAGACAACATGGCAGAAAATGTTGCTCCTTCCCCGGCAAAGCGCGCTAGAAAACCCAATTTTACACCCACCGATTATGCAGTTATTTTGAAAGAGGCGGAAGAAAATTAAAACATTATCAAATGTAAATTTTCCTCCACACTTTGTAATAAAAACAAAACGCGAATATGGGAGGAAATAGCCGAGAAAGTCAATGCCCTCGGAATTTCCAAAAGAACTGTTATGGAGATAAAAGAAAAGTGGAGAACAATGGTAAGTGGAGCAAAAAGAGAGCACAGCAAATGTACCACGACAATAAAGAAGACCGGGAGTGGAAAAAAACCGGCTTCCTCAAAGGCTACCACAGCCAAAATTATCGAGCTCTTCGAAACGAATCCGTCTTTCAGCGGCATTTTGGGCAGTATCGATTCAGGTAAGCCACTAATGTTTACAAGTTGGTTGACTTACGATGATACTTAGGTGTAATCCACAATGTGCTGATTGTTTCTGCAGTTCTTTGTTTAAACATGATGCAGGGTAGCAGGTGATTTTTCTTCTTTTGGATTGTTTACAATCCCTGTAATTCGTCAACGTTTCTAAAATTAAGCGGACCCTTGTTGAATTGAATTGATCGAGAAAAGCTAAGCTGCTCTTGTATCGTGGCCGGAATGTACTTTTAGACTTAAGCTTTAAACGTTTCACACATTCGGACTCATTTTTCGTCCTTGTTTTCCATTTTGATTGTGAAGTGAACAAACACCCAGGAGCACACCCTTCATCATCCATTTCACAGTCCTCTGGATCTGGCTCCCTTAAACTTATAGCAAGGTTGTGTACAAAAATACAAAAAGCTACAATTATTGAGCACACCCTGTGAGGAGCCATATGCAAGGCTACTTAGCGAAAGAATGCTCGGTAATGTTATGTTTCAGCACTCACTCCACTGAAAAATGTCCATGTTGGAAAACACATCAAGTGATCACCAATGAATATATTTCTTGCGGTCGTGTCACCATTCGAAGGCTCAACACTTGTTAGCAAACAAGATCGATTACAGTTGAGAGTTCCAGAAAGGAAAGGGAGATCTCACGGTTCGAAAACTCAATTATTTTAATCAATTGGTTCAGTTTGTTTCGTCATAAATTGTGTACATGCGTAAATCTTGGGATCACATGATTGATCACATGCGTTACTCAAGCCAATCACTCGCACATTCCTCCTTACGTGACAGAAAAGCGTTACAATTCTAAAGCGAAATTCTTCGGATTTCATGCTTATATTTGGGACAAAATAACACCTGAAATACACATGAGATAGTAAGCATAGTAAAGCTTGGGTTAAACGGAATGTTACCCTTTGCTATACAATTAATGGGCTCATCCTCGGTGTAAAAACCTGTGAGGCTCACGAGTGACGTGAAACAAAGACAACAAAACATTATAAACAATAGCGTAGAGCAAAACAATACCTCATGAAACAAAAAAACCTCGTCAGGTTTTTACACGATGATGACCTAAATAATGAGAGCAACACAAACTTCCTTACCTCGATGGTCGCAGATTGCCTGGACATTGATTGAATGAAATCCTTTCCGGTTCACGAAGTCCGGCTCGTTTTCGCGAGGGGCCTTTATTGTCAAATCCCTGAAAAGTGTCACCTACTACTTGAAGAAACTAACTCGAAGCTAAGAATCTGAGGGTGATAAGGACTTGCATTATAGCAGGAACAGCACGGTTGCGATTTGTTTGGGGAGCGATATCGTCTGCAACAAGGTCAACGATATACTGTATCGCCTCTCGTCCAAAACGATATCTGGATCTCAATTCAGCGACTGTATGTTTCTAACGGATCGAGTTGGCGGCGATAAATTCTCCTTTTTCTTCGATGTTGATTTTCGGGAGGGTTACAGCGAAGAAGATCTAACTGTCGAGCAGCTATTTTATTTCTGTTTATCCGGTGGATAAAATTTATACTACCTACCTACCTAACCATGGATAAATTTATCCGCTGGATAGCGAGTGGATAGCGCTATCCATGCTTTCAACAACCGATATGACGCCATGGATAAAATTTATACGCTGGATAGCGATTTATCCAACGGATAAGAAGTTATCCATCCTTTGAACAACCGGGGCCTGATTGTCAGCTTTGCTGCTTGTCTTACTTCACTAATCTTCCAGCAATTAAGAAACGGATTTAACGTCGAGTTAAAGTGAACTAAGACAATTGTTATTCTTCTTAGGACACTTAAGCGCGATGAGTATGTTTTTCCAAGAGCGATCACAATTGCCACTATAAAAAAAAAACTGCGCATAACAAATTAAAGCTAACTGCATTCACAGTGTATTGTGCACTGCCCTTCTGCATCGCGCCATGTTTAGTGCATTTGGTTGCCTCGGCGGTTGTTGAACATGATCACGCGCTTGAGTCTGATGATACTTCAGAGTACGACAAATCTTTGTGCACGAGGCCAGTGAAACAGTCAGACAAAGTGGTTTAAATATCCAGTTCCAAAAATACGTTATATAATGATCAATTATGGTGTTTAAAGAGGCCTCAACAAGACAAAAAACCCAAAAGGTAGCTACAATGATAAAGGTGCGCGTTAAAGTTAAAATGTGTCCTATTTCAGCACCAAGAACAGGGCGAGAAGTCTGTCCTCGCTAATGGCCGCTATTGTCAGCAAAACAACCCCACATAATGCTATGCTTGATATGTAGGGTGCGTATTTACGTATCGACAAATAACCCAATGTTCGTGAACCAAGGATACCACAAAAGCAGGATTGAGAGGCTGTATAACAAGACCAACTAACAGATGAGTTGTTGCTAGGCAACGATACAAGAGTTTCGATGAAAGATTCCTTGTGAAGGGTAACAAGAATGAAAGAATTTCCAAGAAACGCTGTGATGGAGAAGGGAATATACGTTTCTTATTTCTTCCTATCCAATAAAATATCGGACAAGCGTTCTCTACGGCAGGTAATAATCGTGACTGTATGACTCAGCTTTACAAACATTCATTCGAGTGTAGCTACGAACGATCTAACTCTCTGGACAGCAAAGTGCTTGTCTTATTGTCTGCTTTACCGCTTGTCTTACTTCACTAATCTTCCAACAGTACAGAAACGGATTTAACGTTGAATTAAAGTAGACTAAGACATTTGTTATCTGCAATATGACGAACAAGTGTGACGAAAATATTCCACTATGAACGATTGTCAAAAACAATACAATAGAGGATGGCGCATAACAAACAATTAATGCTAACTGCACCCACAGTGCACTGTGTACCGCCTTTCTGTATCGCGCCATGTTCAGTGCTTTTAGTTGGCTTGGCGGATGTTGAACAGGATCGTGAACTTGAGTATGATGATACCTGAGAGTGCAAAAAATCTTTGTATACGAGGCCAGTGAAATAATCAGGCAAAGTGGTATAGATGTGCCAATGTACAAGTACACTATACGATAATCAGTTATGATGATTAAGAAGGCCCCGGCGAGAGAATAAGCCCAAATGGCAGCGACAATGATATAGGTGCGCTTCAAAGTTACGATTTGTCTGTATCTCAGCCCCAACAGCAGTGCAAGAAGTCTGTCCACGCTTATGGCTGTCATCGTCAATAGAGACACCGTACATAAGCCAAGGGTTGTTGTGTGGTTTGCATAGCCTATGTATCGACAAACACCCCAGTCTTCGTGAATCAAGGATATCAATAAAGTAGCATGGAGAGGCTGGCAAACAAGACCTACCAACAGATCAGTTGTTGCCAGACATCGATACAAGAGTTTGGACGGTCGATGAAGGGAAGATTCCTTGTGAAGGGCGACAAGAATGAGACAATTTCCAAGAAACGCTGTTATGGAGAGGAAAAGATTAACTGCTGCGAAAGAAACTAAAGAGCTTGAGGCGGAGCATGTCAGTGGAAATTTTTTCGTCAGTGTTACACCTCTTGTGAAATTTGTCGTCGACATTATTTTGTATTGGACTCCTTTTTCTTGCAGGTTATCTGTGATAACAACGAGAAATATTTTGTCTAAAAGGCACACACCCAGCCACGATTGCTAAAACTGGACTTCCTTGACATTTATCTCAGAAGACTTCCTCGTCACCTTTTCCTCATTCAGTAGGGCGTGATAAAATTGTCTGTTGTGAACTTGTCAGGCGCCTAACGTATAAAATAGAAATAAGAAGCAAATGTAGAGAAAACTTAAAATTTTCTTTTAACAGTGCGTGCGATAAAAAAAAAATTCCTCTTTACCAGGATAAACTTCAGTTGATAGCGTGCTAATCAATTGTCCATTTTATTTGTGTGAAGCTTGGACACTAATCATAATCAGCCTCAGGAAGTTGAAAATAAACAAGAGGTTATCAACTCAACGTTATATCCCCTTAAATCATTCATTCATTGGGTGGGGGGAGGGGAATCAAAATAGATGTAAGACACGCGAATCGAGTGATGTCATCGCTTAAAAAATGCAGCATTATCTTTTTTTTAATTCTTGTATTGGAGTTCTTACTACCTCTTTAATTGTTCTATCAAATTCGTTTTGCTTATTCCGAGTGGAGACTGCAGCTTAACTACTAGCCAATCAAATGTGGGTCGCAATTAGCATTTTATATCTGGATTAGTAAAATGAAATCTTAGTACTTAAGAGGCTCGTTTAACTTTAGCTTTGTTTTTACTGTCCTCTGCCGCTTGTTGCCTTTTTATCTTAGACGTTGTCCAGAAGTTACGAAATTTTTAAGTCCGCTCCACACGCTTTTGTCTCTTGCGTTGGATTAAAGCGGACAATCCGGAGCGGGCAAGATGGGCTCATCTTGCCCGCTCGGGTAGCCAATCAGAACACAGGGTTCGCTNAAATACCTTGAACAACTCTCTTGTACTATTTTGCCAGCACGTGTGGCAGTACGGTGTCAACGCCAAGCGCTTTCTTTTAATTAGCCGGAGAAAAGAGTGGAAATTGTTTTATCGAATGCAGAATACCTCTAACAACTCTTTTAAATTACTCTTTGAAATTTTATCCAGCGCATTCATATTGCGAGGAGGAGTAAAGATGAGAGTACAATTGATGAGTGAACCGCACTTTCTATCGGTTTACCGCTGATAAGCCACGCAGGATGTTGGGAGAACCCGAGAAAAGTTTGTGAACCACGAGGCGCAGGCGAGGGGTTTACAAACTTTTTCAATAACATATCGGACTTCACTAACCTTCCAGCAGTAAAGAACGGATTTAACTTTGGGTTAAAGTGAACTTAGCCTACTGCTATTTCCCATCTTCCAAAGAAGGGGGGCACTGAAGATCTACGAATAAAGTCTGTGCTCTACCTTTACCACCGGTTAGATTTGTTTTCGTCATTAGTCTTCACTGTTTTTTTTCCCTCAAGTCAAATGTGATTGCGATGGAAACGTTTAGTCTTGAGAGCCTTTTCCTATCCTTGATCACCCAAAATTTACTTTCATCAGATTAATCATATTCCCCATCCCTTCGTTACTCAATTCGTTACTCAATAAACACTTGTTTCGTTTTTTCGCAACAGTGCACGGTACACTGCCTTTCTGTATCGCGCCATGTTCAGAGCGCGGAAAATCTTTGTGTACTAGGCGATAGAAGTAACTAGGCAGGATGGTATACCTGTATATCCACACCAAAAAGGTATACGGTAATTTGAAGTGTAGCATAAAGCGGCGACACAGGATATAACCCAAAACAGAACTGCAATGAGATATGTCCTCTTTAAAGTCGTAATTCGTCTGTATCTCAGCCCCAGCAATAGGGTGTGAAGTCTGGCCATGATTATGGCCACGCTCATAGTATGACTACGTTTTGCATTTACTATTATCTGTGATTTCAACCTCAAAATTGTAACTAAACACGTATGTTGTTTAGAGAAATAGAGACCTTTACCTTTACCTTCACCTTTTATCTGTGGGAGGAACAAATTTCTCACTAATAGCAGCTTATCGGAGTCCTTGAAATTCTGTACATTGTTCCCCTAATGGGTAGATTTTACTAAATATATACTAAAATAGTCTATAGCGTTAGAGGCGCGGTCTAATTGGCTAATCAAACTGGGAATATCCTTTGCTATTCAACACCGTGCATTTTCGCGCAGGATTTGTGCCAGGCAATATTGTAATCGTTGCAGGAATAAATGAGTTGAAATCATCTTGTTGTGCTACATTATCTCATTGTCATCGTATATACTTAAACATTTATTCTCTCAGCGTTATCATCGGTGGCTAGCCACATAGCCATCTCTACTTCAGTGAACAGTTGTTAAGTGCCGCTTTCGCTGAGAGCGATACTCTCGACTTCCCTGTGAACATGGTAACCTCTCTAATCCCCTGGCTGTTGTTCATCTCTCAGTAGAAAAATCAAAGGAAACTGTGAACAACTCGTGGATACATTACCTTCAATATCGACCGCTGCGAAAGGAAATGCCGATCCAAGTTGTTGAAGCCCACCCAAGAGGGCACCATAGCAGTTCTACAATTGTTTTAGTGTATGTTTCACCCCTAGTGAAATTCAAATTAGCACTGACATTTAATTCCTTTAGCAAACAGGAAGTCATCGGCCAGCTGCATTTTTGTTTGACGATATGATAAGGAAACTGACTTTTGTCAGTCTTTTGAGATACAAAAGAAGCAGTACATTGAGCTAACTGACATTCCTCTGGGTCGGCAATTTAGAGGAAAGTATCTTTATCTGCGTTGTCGTTAATTATGAATTTACATAAAGCTTTGTAACAACGACAGTTAAAAGAAAAAACAAGCTAAAATTCGGAACAGTTCATCACTCGGAAGTGGTAGACACAGAACCAAGACAACTTGTAGACAACTTAAACATGCACCAACGTCAAACTCGATATATTAAATATTTTCAACAGTCGACAACACTTTTCATGTAATATTGTTTTCCCCTTTAAGACACAATGCTTATTAATATTTGAAGATGTTTTATTACTGCAGATCTTAATTGAGTTTAATAAAGGACATGAAATAAAATTGATCTTCACCGGTTCTTACAGAGTTTCCTTTCAGATCTATCCATTTTCATTTTCCCGGAATGTTATGTCAAATATTTCTATTACATAAACTGCCAAGTTTTTCCCTTTGACTTGTCAGGTGCCTTAGGTATGAAACAGCGAAAAGAGGGAAGAAAGAGGCATCTTCAGTATTGTTATTTTAAAGGGAGAAAATTATCCCCCTCTACCTTAATTAGTTTTTGTTGGTAGTGTGCTAATCAAGCGCAGGTATCAACGAACGCTTTTCATTCCACTAATTTATTCTTTTTTTTCTCGTTGCCATGTTCCCACCAATGGCGTAGCGCCGCTTTCTGCATATAAAACCACATACAACCAACAATTCCTCCATTCGCTCTGACGAAGGGCTAACGCTCGAAACGTCAGCTTTTTTATTCGTTACGGTGGCCAATTTACTATTTCAACGTAGTTGATAAAACCAATTACCTTGTTACCCCCACCGACGCAGCAGCACAGTTATGTTCCATTCGCGGTTTATTTCTATAGCTTTCATACAGAGTCAATTCTTTTACACATTTCACCGTATAAACTAAAGCAAAGCGCAGTATGAAATATGTTCAAGCAAATACAATGTTTTGTAAATAAAGTTTAATTCAATAAGAAAAGAAAATGCAATCGAGCTTTCGTAAAACTGTTTGAAAAAGCTTAAATTTTTTAAAGGATTTTAAAGTGTGATTAACATTATTTGCTTATCAAAAATAAGGTTGACCTTTGAGTGGGTGTATTTTATAGAAAGTAATAGTTTTTGCTTTGTTTTATTCAACCTTATTTCATGATTCACACCTTTTCTTTTATTAAAATACAACCTTTATTTAGCTTACATCCCTGTTGAATATTAACAAACTAAAAATCCGGGGAGGGCTTGATAATTAATGTAGCAGGGAAGAGCGGGCTGATGAATTGAATTTGATTGTAAATGAGGGGTTTATCTGTGTAAATCCCTCGTTTCTGGGATTTATCTACATAAATCCTTCGTTTCAGGGATCATTCCGTTTCGCTCCACTGCCCATTCAGGTCAAGTTCGAACTGCCCACGATGTATTTATTCTTGTATTTGGCGATATTCGAGATTCCTTCCCCTTCTCAAGTTCTTCATCGTCAACGATCAAAATCTTCCTTACTGCTTCTGGGCAATTTGATGGGTCCTTCCGTTTATCGTTGATGCTTTCCTCAGTCACTACTTGCTTTAATTCTTCCGCGCAGGAATTTTGTCGAGCAGGCTGTCACTAGCTACTAGCTAGGCCGTCTGAATTGTGTTCTTATGTTTCATCCGAAAAACTATTTTGAGTAAGAAAAAGAAGGGGGGACTTTGAAGTCACTTATTAGACCCGAATGACAAGATTTCTGGTGATTCTGTTGAATGGAGGAGGTGTTCCAACTAATTTTTCCGGTCATTGTAGCTTAACCAATCACCTCGATAATGGAATCGTAGATCTGTTTAATTAAACTTAGCATTGCAACAGGATTGTTTTGAAATGGCTCGATAGCTATCCAATAGCAAATAAGTCAAAAAGTATTAAAACAGAAATTTTCCGAGCTCTCAGTCATCATTGTGCCGAAGTATAGAGGTTTTGCACAGCAGCCATGTTGGATGGAAGGAACAATGAAAATATTTTCCATGAGAAGGAATTTTTTTCCCATGGGCAAA